TTGAGAGATTTCCGTGCAAGCTTTTCTCTTCAGAACACTTTGCATTACATTTTGTTTAACTTTCTTAGTAGTTTGAAGTGGTAACTATTGATTGTGCTCTGTTCTGGTGAGAAGATCTGTATGAGTACTTTTGTATGAAATTCGAGAACTGCAAAGTGTTTCTGGTAGGAAAAATAAATTTTATCTAGCTGTTATTGGTTCTATGTTCCTTCAATGCATTGCGAGCCTGCACGCCGGTTATAATACTTTAGTTATTTCAAATGATTTTGAAAGTACAGAACTTTTGAAATCATTTGAAAGTTCTTTACTTTCATCTTTATCCTGCAGATTCTGAAGTTTTCAATATTAAAAATTTAATTTAATGTGTAATTTGTTTCAAAATCCAAAAATTATATCCATAAATTTGATTGAAAATCCTGAAATAGAGTGCAAAAAATACAGGATTATAAAAAAACGATGAACCCGATTTTATACAATTTTATTAAAAAAATGATGTTTTAGCAATTTTTTTTTGTAATATAAACACGAAAATACACATTTTTACCACATAATTATTAAATTTCAATGTGAGCTCAGGTGGTTGTCCTGCAGATAGTTAAACGGGGTTCGTACAGTCCTTAAGAGTCCTTAAAAGTCCTTAGATTTTTTGGAATTGATTTTTGGTCCTTAAAAGTCCTTAATTTTGGCCAAAATCAGCAGAAGATCCTTAATTTTAATCATCTGAAATTTCTGTCTGTTTTTATGACTGTTATTTTGAGTGTGAATTAGCATTTTGAGGAATATTATTAGCGATTCATTGCCGTATATATGGTTATCTTTTTGAATGGGTTCATGAGTTATAATTTGTTTCTGTTTCTAATATAAATGATAGGATACTCGAGTTTCTAAGCAAGAAGTGAAACATAAGCATTTCAAAATTCATTTTTTCTAGTAAAGAGCTCTTAAACAACTTTCACTTTTGGAGACATGAATTCTTTTATTAAGCAGTTCTAAATTTGGCGATTTTAAGATTAGTTTCTATAGAAACTTTTTAATTCCGTGATCTGGGAATTTTTCGACGATTTTTTTTAAAACATTATAACATTGATAAATTTCATTAAAATAATGGTAATATATTGAAATTATATTTAAAAAATAACATTAAAATAAAAAAATCTTATTTTTCGCTGTCATATTATAAAGTTTCATTTTGGCAACTTATTATACAATATTTTAAATCTGAAAAATAAACAAGGTATAATGCTATAAATCACAATTTACGAAACAGCTCTTAGCAAAAGCAAAATTAGCCATGCAATTAATTAAAAATGTCTTTTTTAAAATTTTTTCATAGTAAGAGTTTTTCCCATGTAATTGTCTCAGAATATTCAAAATTCTCAGAATGTGCATCAGTTTTCTCTATAAAATTAATTTTATACTTTTTCCCTCCTACTTTTTTCCAAAGTATTTCTGGCTTTTTTTCTGTTACAGAAATGGTAGTGATAATTTTTCTTTAGGATTTTAAACATTGCAGCTTGGAAAGTTTAGAAGGATTTGAAGGCAAGATTTATAGACCTAGATTCTAGAAGATTCGAGAAATATGTGACAAAATTAAAAATGTCTCCATGGTATCAACACGTAGTGGATGTATTTTTTTTTTTTTTTTTTTTTGTTTTTTTTGTTTTTTTTTTTTTTTTTTTTTTTTTTTTTTTTACAGAAAGTTTGCAATGAATTTCTTAATTTTGGGAGAACACATCTGGAAGAAACAAAACAATGTATTTTACAGAAAGTTTGCAATTAATTTCCTTATTTTGGGAGAACATCTGGAAGAATAATGAAAACATAATATTTGAATGTATTACTTCTGATACTAGAATCTTAACATGTTTATCTTCTCTTTATTTTCTCTACTTTTCACTAGACAGAAGCATGGAAAATATCAAAAATGCTTCTTATCTTATCACATGGGCATGCATTATAGAAAGGGATTTTTTTATTAATAAAGAAATTAAAAACTTAGTTTAAAAGATTCATCTAATATTTCTTAATGCATCATATACATAGCTGGCAATAGGCATTTTCCCACCTGATGCACTCTCTGTGGATCCTAAATTCTGCTGCCTACTGCCTTTCTAAATTCTGCTTCCAATGCTTGCTTTAAATTCTAAAAGTTTTGCCATTTCTAGATTTTGTTGTTCGGTGTGTCACTAAATTCTAGAAATTCTGCCTCATCAGCTCTGTAACCGTCCTTTGCTATATATATTTCATATTGCTTCTGAATGTTCATATTACTAAAGAAATAAAATTAGCCGCTTTTTCTCTGTACATTCTAAATGCATTTAGTGTTTTTAGAATAATGGAAATCCTTAATTAAATCCAAAAATTCTAAAATGAAAAGGAAACGTGTTGAAGAAAGAAACTGAGTACTTAAAGGAAATTATTCTTCAAAGATATGTGCAGTTATTATTATGTAAATTACCCAATTGTTTGATTTCAACCTTTAGTATAATTTCCCATTTCTATTTCCTCATATGATAGAGTTACTGAGCCAGATTAAATTATAATTAAATTGTATAATCTTTGACCACTAGTCCACATTATTAGTTTGAATTTGACTGTTCTTGTTTAATTACGTCACCGTGAGCTGTAATTGATTTTGTTAGCATCAGAACATGCCTTTATGTTCTAAGTTCTTTTTAAACAAGAGGCTTAATTAAACCTTTGTCTGATATTGTAGTTAATTTCAGACATAGCGATAATATGCTTCACGCCTGTCGGGGGTTTTGGACTATTTAACTTTTACCATATAAATTAAACCCTCATAGGTACATTATGGAGAGATTGATAAGTTAGGAGATGAAGCACACAGAAACTAGCGAGAGCATTGGTTTGCATATTGAGACAATCTCTAATTGTTAGAAAAGGATGCTTAAAAGAGAAGGAAATCGATATAAACTAGCCAAATATGACTGGAAAGGCTATCAAAGTGTAAAATATTTAATGCTACTTGATAAATTTGCATAGTTTATTTTATTCTCAAACTTATTAACAATTATGTTAATTAATTCATGTTTAGTAATAATGTATTCTACTTAGGGATCTATTTTACTTTTAGGATATTATTATAAAAGTGAAATTCAGGCATAGATAATATCTTCAATTGAATTTATTCAGTTCCCGTTTGCTCATAGGTCCTTAATTTTTTTCATTAATGGTCCTTAAAAGTCCTTAAAAGTACTTAATTTCCGTGTGCAGAAATCTGTACAAACCCTGTTAAAGCAGTATTCCATTTCTATCTATAAACTCAGGTCTGTTTGGAGTGATTGTAGTAATGGCAACAAGTGATCAGTTTGCAGAAGGTGGCTGTATCCTATAGATTCATGAAAAATTTTGTAGGCCAGTAGTTATAATTTTTAATTTTGCATACCACAAACACTTTGAACTTTACATCTTCATACAAAATAGCTGGTTTAAAGGGATGATATCATTTCTATTGAGCTTCATCCATCCATAACAATCAAAATTTATACAATTTGTTATTATTTGGGCATAAAAACTAAGCATATTAATTTACAAGAAAAGTACAATACAGGGATTTAAAATGAAGTCCATCTTTTTTAATAAACCTGTACTGCCCAGATCCCACAGTTTGGATAAAAGTTATCCGGAAGGAAATTAACACATAATTATTTCAGAAATAAATGCAGGTAATCGAATAAAATTTATCTTAACAACAAGCAGTCTCGTAACTTGAAGATACTGAGTAATTAAGCTTAGCTTCTAATTTCATATATTGATAAATTGAAAACGAAAAGTTAATGGCAAATTTTACTCAGCCTGTGAAATAGAAGTTTAATAGACCAGTTTCCTTTCATAGCTTTCCCATTACAGTTTCAAAGAGAGGAATAATTAATATTTACATCTTTTTATGTTCTTACAGTCAGGGTAGTCTTATATATTAAAATTTTGGTATGCAAAATAAAAAAGGAAATTTGTATCAAAAATATTTCCAACAATTAATCACTTATTCCAATACTTTTAGAGATCTTAACATCATAAAAAACATTGCCAGTAAAAATAATGTTTCCCTTTGTTCACATTAAATGGTGTTTATCTTCATCACATTAAAGCTTTGTAAATGAAAGTGCTGTCCCATAATTCTATGTTTCATTCATTTATTATTTAATTATTTATATGTAACTTAAATGTAGTCTTCTTTTACATAGCTTTACAAGTGATGAATTTATACAATCATCTACACCGGTTTTTCAGTAATTACAACTGTCAAATGAAGCAGTGGTCAGTAATAGAATTTCTGAACACTGGAAGACTGCATGTCAATCAAAATTTATAAATGCTATAGAAATTAACAGCAATTGCAGTGTAAATGGGAGCAAAAGGAATTTAGAGAATCTCATTATCTTATTTCTTTAGAAACTTTTTTGAATTTCTTAACCTTCACTAGATACAGTTTATGCTCACAAATTTTGAAATGGAAAGAGATTTACTTGGAATGTGGAAATGGTGATTATTTTCCTAAGATATTTTCTTTATCATGTAAACCTTATAAGACTCAGGCCATAGGATCTAGCTTAAAAGGGAGACTGTTTTTGGCATGACAACAGTTTTGGCATGCACTGCATTTAGTAACTTATAAAAATAATGGTCAGCCTAAAGTTTACATTTGTTCTGTGCTTCTCATGCCGCACAAATTTGAAATAATCCAATTTTTGGTATTCTCAAAATTGTAAGAAATGTTGAAAAATCTACATTAGTAATTTTTTCTTTAAATTCTGAAGACAAAGTTGCTATATTCAAAACCCAAATTTATGTTCATGAATGGAATGAAAAAGTGAATCACATATTTAGGAAAATATGTAGTTATGAATGCAGATTATGCTGAAAAATAAATATGAGATGTATAATGAGAAATTTTTTTCATTATTTTATGTTACTGAAACTTCTTTTATATAACTAAAGACCTTACTTATCAAAATATTTCTTATTTTTATTTCTTGCAGCTCGACAGTGCTCCTCCCGAGGTGGTGATCTGCTTGTCAAGCTAGTCTCCGATAGAACACTAATTAATGGAGATGCAGTTATAGTTGTTGAGGGTCAAATAAATTTGTAATGTGATGTTTTTTTTCCAATCTTTATCCGAGTGCCACAGCATAAAATTTTATTGTCATTTGGGTTTCAAACAATTGTTAAAAGAGAATTATTTTTTTTTCAATGCTTTTCAATAATGAATTTGAATGAAATTTCTAGTCCTGTAATTTATATACTGTCATATATATATATATATATATATTAAAGGATTATTGAATATATTATCTCCTTTGAGAAGGGTAGTAGAATTTTAGTTGAATGAAGTAACTTATAAGTATTTAAAAATGAATATTGAAAATTTTTGTTAAAATGAAACGTCAAATATGAATCATGAAAAAAAAAAGATGAAAACTTTAAAAAAATTTAATTTTAATTATTGTCATCGATCAGAAATTGGTTGAAATTTCAAGGGGAACAAACCAACCCCCAACCAATTAACAATAATTAATAAATGCAAAGGTGTTTCATCTTTTACTCAAGTAAGAATTATGATGCCAACATTAAGTAAGCTGAGTTGAAGCCAAGTAGGTAGATTTTATTGTTTTCATGAAGATGAATTTAAGTTAATGTACTGTATAAAATTCATTATGAAAATGGCAGTTCCAGCAAGTTTAAATTTTTTTAATAATTATCGTGATATATTTTATAGTTAGAGTGTGAGTAGTAGTTTTAATATTTTTCTTTGTTGAATAAAGTGTTCCCCGACAGCTTCGCTTTCAATCATGTTAATTCAAAATAATCTTTATAAACATAATGCAATCTTTGCAAAAATTATTAAATATAAAAGTTGAAAGAATATTTACAGAAAATAAGAAGGTACAATTAAATGTACGAATGGAAATGTACATAATATACATAGATGGCAGAAAATGAATTAATTAACTTACATGCTTGTAAGTGTTGAAGTGAGACCTGTCTGTTACTGTTAAAAATGTTTTTTTGATTAGTCAGGTTTTTAATTATTTTAAATTGGTATTTTCTAGACCTCTGTTGCTTTAAAAATATAAAAATCTGCAAACAAAAATCCTTAATTGCAAAGATACCAAAATCAAAAGTAAAAATTTTAAGTATTGAAAAAGTAGCTAGTATCACTGACCACAGATTAATTGACTGTCAAAGGGAACAAACCAATCTGCTATCAATTAACAACCACTTAATTAAGTGAGAATGTTTTGTGTTTCCTCCAAGTAAGAACCAAATTATATTCTCCTAGAGCCTAATCATAAGTCGCAAACAATACTCAATTAATAGAAAGACATTAGGCCATTTAAGCCAAAAGAACCTTCACATACAAAACGAAATTAGTATATAATCTTTTAAGTTGCTCATAAAGAACATAACTAAATGATATCCTTACTTTAGAAGAGATATTCCCTAACACTCTCATTGTTGAAAATGGCCTATAAAGAAAAACTATAAAATAAATTAATAAGCAGACAATTCTATTTTCACTAGATGGCATGCAATGAAATGTTATGACTTTATTTTTTATTTATTTTTTTATTTATTTATTTATTTATTTATTTTTTTTTTTTTTTGTTGTTATTAACTTTTGGCAATGAGAATGCTCAGTTTGAACAGATGAGATGTAAGATGTCAGATGTAATTTAGATTTAGTGTTTCTGTATATTTTAATGTTGAATTATTTTGAAATTAAATGTTTTTTCTTTCTTGAGATGTAGATTTTATGAATAGATTTCTGACATTACCTTTAGGCAAGCTCACCCAGAATCGAATTTTAAAAGGGAAAAAAGTAAGTGAAATTTTTTTCCTGAATTTTAGAACTTAGAAATTGAAAACATAAGAATTAAGAAATTAAAGTTCTTAGAGATTTCAAAACTCGTTTTCAAACTCAAATTTAATAGTAAAAACAAAAATTATACATTTTTTAAAATTAAAAAGTAATTCAAAATCAAAAGAAGATCAAAATGGACAAAATCCTTTTTTTTTTTTTTTTTTTTTTTTTTTTTTTTTTTTTTTTTTTTTTTTTAGAATTTTAAAAGAACCAATGCCTTTTTATTTAATAAACAATTGGTATTTGACAAGCTTTGGTTTTGTGCTTCATAAAAAAGGCTTTCAATGATTTCTACTGTTTTGTTAGGTCCACCAATTTTACTGGAAAGCTGTGAGTGCAAACGTCTCACAGATAAATTTTTGGTCTATTATTCTTTTGTCAGCTATACTCAGCTAACCGTATTCATTAATATACACTTTTCTTGATGATAGGATCTCATAACTTTGAAAATAATCCACTGCTTGCTATTCCACAGAAGACAGGTGCCAAATTTTAATTTTTTTTTTCAAAATTCAAGGGAAAAATACAATTAATTTATATCCTTGTTCATAAAAACAAAGTGTGGCATATGGAGAATTAGTTGGGGTTACATCAGATGAAAGCAATATGATATGAGTATGTTGTTACATCATGCTTATCCATAATCGATACTAAATTGTGCTACATGACAATAGTTTCAGAATCAATGGCATAATCTGTCAATACCATGAATTTATTGTTTTCCATTACTTCTAATGTAAAGTTTGGCATCTATTTCTATTATTTTTTCCAATGAAAATATGCACTAAAGAATCTGAAAATTCTGAATAAACTTTATTAAAATAATTTTTATAAAATAGGAAGTTATTAAGTGATAAAAAATATGTTTTTTACATCATGATAAATTTACACTGCTTTTCACAGAATATAACCTGTTTTTAAATGTTTTAATAACATTTTATGCTGAACATTCACAGATTTGCAAAATTTTTCAAAGATTCTGTCCTAATGGTATAAATAGGAATTACACTATGAAATATTGGGATTTTGATTCTAAATCTGTCAAATTTTGATTCTAAATAAATTGAATCCATGCTGTGTGAAATTTTAAACAATATAAATAAAGCAATTAAGACCCATCAAATCTTTTTCAAATTTCATTTTTAAATATTTGTTAATGTTATTTCTCTCGGGTCTCTTTAACATTCTGAAATTTGCATTATAATTGCATACAGAATAGGCTACTCAGAAACAGTTATAACAGAATAGTTGCAATTTTTTTTAATAGTTATGCTACACTACATGACTGTTAAAAAAATTGTCATGAGTTCATGACAAAAACAATAGTGTGCCTAAGCAGCATGGCAAAAGATCTTTTTTTAACCTCCAAAATGATAACAGTGCATTGCTTGTCTCAAGCAAAACAAGCCACGTGAAAACAATATGCACTTCCTAATAATATGTTGAGACCAATATTATTAATGTTTATACCTTGAGCAAAAGGTTTCTGATGCTATGGATAGTATGCTTCCTTCACAGGAGTTATGCCTAATTTTTTTTATCCATATGTTATATGCATCAGTTTGAAATCTTAAAGGCCCGTTTCCACTGCTGCCTATGCGTTTCTCCAATCAGCGAGCGAATTCACTTTGATTGACATCTGCAATCCGGTCGATGTGCGGTGATGGAGTGATGAAGTTCAACTATGTTCAACTTCTATCCGTATGTCTGTGGATGCGTTGGGGTCACGTGGTAAAAAAGAAGCAATCAGTTGTCACCAAAAATTAATGGCGGCAGAAGTAGCGATGAACGCTGGCTTAGGGAAAGAATATTTTGCTAAAAAATACTTATTTCTGAATTAATATTATAGCGAGAAATCTGCGTACTGAAAAAGACAGTAATCAGCTGAATTTAGTTAAAAAAGAGGTAAGAAAAATAAGATAACTGCAGCTACAGTGTTAGTTCGCAGGAAAAATCAGGTGTAAAAAATAGTAAAAAATATAATTCCAAGTCCATGAAATAGCAAAATTTGTCCTGACAATTATTTCCTAGTTCTGCATCTTTATCTTTATGAAAAATAAATGTCTGACTATATCAAACTGCTATAGCGAATCAGATATGGCATTAAAAGATTTGTTACTTTTTTCTTTTGAAACAGGTAAAAACTAAAAACGTTAATTATAAATTAAATTTGATAGGCTTTTAAATATTCCACTGCATTAAAGATTATTTTAAATTTGTATTTCTCTATTTATAAATATACCCTTTTGGCTAACATATATTTGTAAGCACATGAAATATAATTTTAGCAGCATGTTTAACTTCAATCGGAGAGTCACTTTAAAAGATAATGTTTTTTGTACGAAATGTCCTAGAAGCTGAATAACAAACTCTGGTGAATTTTTTAGACAACAGGACACTGAAATAGGACCAAAAAATTTAGTTTTAAAAATTCATTCACTTGCTGATGTATATAAGCCAAAATTGCATACCATGCCCGTATGATGATAGCTTAGTGGTAAAGTTGACAGTAGCATGGTTTAACTTTTGGGGTCGTGAGTTCAAATCCCATATATGTTTTCTATCCTGTCTGCAACTTTCTTAGCTTCTTGTTCCAATTTGATCAATATTTGTGTTTTATAATTTATTTCTATTATTATATGTATTAAATATAATGTTTTATGTATGCTCTTATTTATTTAAATTTTCCTCGCAAAATGTTTATTTTAAAAATTATATAATATGAATTTAAAACATGCACCCTGTACATATACAGGGAAAGTCCGAAATCCGGACTCGTCGGGACTTCGGCAATTCCAAATTTGTAATTTTTCCAGATAATAGATCATCAGTTTAAATCTAGTAAGATGGCATATAGAAATTATAAAATTAAAAATATTAAACCGTGATTTATGAAATAATGAAATATTTATGATCTAAATGTAATCTTTGGGTCTATGAGTATCATCAACAAAATCTATTTTTAGCATATGGAAAGAAATTTTTGGTAAATTTTTGCTCGTCAACATTTTTAGTGCAACTCAAATCTGTAATCATCGCCAAGTGTAATGTCAACATAAAAGGTTACCACAATCCTTTATTATTCAAATACTAACATAAAAAAATTGTTTAGGTATCGCTACATGAGTCATTACTCAAGTTGTCATGTTTTGATAAACATGCGGTAATGAAAAGAAAGTATAATAAATAATGATTCGCCAGGTTGGCGTCAGATCAACGATGTATCTATGTGGAATGTTTCGGTTTAAGATGCGGGCCAAGCAAATAAGCAGCAACGGAGCCAAATTACTGATCATACAAATTTATGCTAAAATGATTGTTTCTTCAATAACAAAATATTTTATTTATTGTCAAAGTGAAATTAAGAATCGGGACTCTCCAGATGTTTTATTATGCATGGAGGAAGAAATCAAATGGGCATGCGTAAAGCCTACGAGAAAAATTTTGTTGGTGGTTTTGAGGTCCGGATTTTAGATCATTCCGGATAATGGATTTCCGGATTTCAGAATTTGTATTGTATGTATATATTTTTTTGTTTCACTTTTATGTGAATGTGCTGAGACTTTGGGATGTTTCCAGCTCTACTTTCACTACCAATTAACATGAGACAGTATTAATGCCTTAAACATTTAAAAAAAAACTTACTATAATAATTGCTTTTAAATTCAGCCCTCTCCAGCAGAAGCGCAGGAATTAATTAAACATTCCATTTTCTTTACCTAATGTATGTATATCATTATATTAAATAATATATTATATTATTATATTAATTATCATATATTATATTATAAAGAGAAAAGCTTGTTTGTTTTTATAACTTCTTCTATAAAAAGAGATATGAATTAAAAATTTTGAAATTAAAAATAACATTTTATGGATTATGCATAAAATATAACTGCGCATACTGCATTTTAAAGCAGACGAGATTACTAATAAATTATCCAGCTATGACTCTGAAGAAATAGGTGCCAAAATTTTATATATTATCTGCTTTCGTCCCAAATTTGGGCATATTTTAAAAGTATACGATCTCACATGGCAGTCAGCAGTATTCGTAATTCAATTCACCTATAGGTGGCGCTTTCACACATTAGTGTGGTGGATGAAAACCGGTGTTTTGATTTGTAATCTGACTTCGTACATCCAAAAATGGAGTTGCTTAGCTTTTTCGAAATGTTTGATTTTGTTCAAGAAGGCGTGAATTCTCGCTGTATTACTGAAGCAGAGAGAATTTTCAAAAGCAGATAATTTGGTAATGCATGGAATTTCACTTGAAAAATCCAATGTACAAATTTTGGCTTCCTATTTAAGGATAAGTTCTATAGCGTCCTGATCGCGTAAAATCGAAGGAACATTCCATTGTTGAAAAAGGAGAAATAATTTTTTTAAAAAATATTTTTTGTTCATGTAAAAGAGGAACTGTTGGCTGTTGTAAGCATTGTGTCACTGTTTTATTGTATTGCGACAGATAGCTGGTTTTAACATTCACTGATTGTAAACAAATGATTTCATATGTGTTTAACTTGGGATTTCCAGAAAATTTGTGCAGTCAAAAGTGTCTTCCCCCCCTAAAATGATATTGAATCATTATATGCTATAACGAACACTACTATAAAAGATAAGAAAAAACATTTAACTGTGCTAAAAAAAATTGTTTGGTGCATGCTATTGTATACTGGAAAAGATTTGATATCTGTAATACTTTTTATATTATTCCTCATACCAGATAATACCTATTTTCTGAACTTGAAATTTTTTATGCTAACTATCCTCAACCACTGTAAACAGTTCTAAATAGTTTAAAAGGAAATGACTCACACATAGAAATTTCAACATTACTAGATCATGAAATTCAAAGTTCATAATTAACATTAAAA